CAAACACAGGGTTGTATGAAGATATGAGGATTTTTCTGTTTTAAGAGATGCTGGACTCCTCCTTTGCTTCCCATCATAACACTAGCATTATCGCTGGCAAATCCTATTAGGTTGTCAAAGAGGATTTCTTTACTGTTAAAAAAAGCCTCTACGCAATTATAAATTCCAAGAGCAGTTGTGTCTTTAATTTCTAAAAGTGTTAGACATTTGTCCGCTGTCTTCTGAACTTCAGTATCATCATGTCTAGCTACTAGAACAAGTTGTTTGATAGTAGAAATGTCTGTTGTCTCATCAATAATAAGAGAAAATTTTGTCACCTTCAACTTAGATACTAGGTTACTGAAGTCATATTCACCGATCACATTAGAAAAAAATGTATGTTCCTTTGGTTCTAGCACACTTGATATCCTTTGCTATTTTTGAATCTGGACAAACATTTGCAACGAGGCCAGGCAAATGATCCAAAAGGGCTATAGGTAAATTGTGTTCTGCAATAAATCCACACAGTTTAAGCTCAGCAGCTGCTATGTGTGCTGAGTGAATAGAGGATGGACCAGGTTTCATAAAGTCAGTTACTTTTGAAGTTTGTTTTGTAGATTTTAGGTTTTTTTGATGCTTTTCTGTTTTCATTTCTTTCAATTTGACTTAAACTACCAGCAGTTTCGCAATTGCATAATTTGCAGAAATCTTTACCTGAGCTGTATTTACTAACTACTAGCCAGCCAGAAAATTTTTCATGTGTCAACAGTTTCGACGGCAATTTTCTCTCATAAGGTGTACACTTTTCTTTCTTTTTCTTAGGAGTGTTATCCTTATCATTTTCATCACTATCTGAACAAATATCCATATTTTTCTCTTCACTCATAATGGGTTCACAAAAAACGTGAAAACACAAAATGTTCACAGAGGACTTGTAAAAGTAAGCAAACAACACCAAGTAACCGGAACACAGCGCTGTGTCACTGCAACTCAAACTGACGCCAGGGCGGCAGAGCCAGTGACGCGGCCACGTGAAGCGGGGAGGAATACATCACATGACTGCATCACATTACACAATACACAGTCTCCTCTCCCTAGTCTTCATTTGCATAATAAACCGAAGAGATATTAATGAACATGTATCAGATGTAAGAAATGTTAACGTTTTAAAAATGAGCATGGAACATAAAATTATAACTTAGAGGCTTCTGAGCAAAAATTTATAATAACACAAAATTCCTAAAACATACCAAAAATATCGGGCGTCGTACCAAACGTACAACAGAAGGTAAATAGTACCAATTTTGTACAAACGTACCAACTTTGGCAGCCCTGCGCGGGACCTATTGCAGCACTGGGCCCGGAGCAGCCGCCCCACTCACCCTGCCCTATATCCGCCGCTACCCTAGATCACAACCTCCTTCATCTAAACTCCCTCCAGGGCTGGCCTTTCCATGAGATGAACTGAGGCAGCTGCCTCAGGTGCCAGAATGTGTGTGTGTGTGTGTGTGGGGGGGGGGTGCTGCTAGGACCCAGAGTATAGAAAATTGTCTGTTGCTGGTGCATATGTATTCTCTCTTCTCTAGATGCACAGAGATGGAGTGTCATGAGAGGAATAGAACAGGAATAAGGCAGAATTGAGACCTTTCAAAGTTTTGGCCCAAGCAAGGGGGCATGGAAGTGTCATTTGAGCTCCCTGCCTCAGGTGCCAAAGTGTTGGCCCTGATTCCCTCACAGACCTCACGCTATCTACTGCACCCAATCTCCTACCCCAAGCTCCCTTCTACATCAAGCACCTCCTCCAGTTAATATCATGGAAAAGTGCAGCCCTAGACTACTTAGCAAATTCTTGGAGTGCCCCCTCCCCCATCAAAAATTGTCCACCAGTAGGTTACTGTTATGTGGGACAGTTTTGAATCACACTCTCGATTGTTAAAAGTAAGATAACTGGTTATTTGCCTTTAAGGGCACAGATAGATAGCAAATCTTAGAGGACTTATCAAAGTGTGTGTATGTATACAAATGAAAACTCTTGGCAAGATTTTTTTTTCTAAATTCAATAAGCTAATTTTTTTCACAATGTATTTTTTCCCTTAGATCCCTGTTAAATCGTTCTCTGTCTTGCCAGAATATAATGCCAGTTAAACTATTGGCATACTTGTCCTCAACCTGAGAAGACTAGGCTTAGAATCCTAGAACACTAGAACTGGAAGGGACCTCGAGAGGTCATAGAGTCCAGTCCCCTTCTCCCACAGCAGAACCAAGTACCATCTAGACAATCCCTGATAATGTCTAGCTAACGTACTCTTAAATATCTCCAGAGAGAGATTCTACAACCTCCCTAAGCAATTTATTCCAGTGTTTAACCACCCTGACAGTTAGGAAGGTTTTCCTAGTGTCCACCCTAAATCTCCCTTGCTGAAGTTTAAGCCCATTGCTTCTAGTCTTATCTTCAGAGACCAAGGAGAACAATTTTTCTCCCTCCTCCTTGTAACACTCTTTTAGATACTTGAAAACCTCTATTATGTCCCCTCTCAGTCTTCTCTTTTCTAAACTAAAGCCCAATTTTTTCAGTCTTCCCTCATAGCTCATGTTCTCTTGACTTTAATCATTCTTGTTGCTCTTCTCTGGACCTTCTCCAGTTTCTTCACATCTTTCTTTAAATGTGGTGCCCAGAACTGGACACAATACTCCAGTTGAGGCCTAATCAGTGGAGAGTAGAGCAAAAGAATGACCTCTTGTGTCTTGGTCACAACACTCCTGTTAATGCATCTCAGAATCATGTTTGGTGGTTGGTTTGTTTTTTTTCAACAGCGTCACACTGTTGACTCATATTTAGCTTGTGGTCCACTATGACCCCTAGGCTGTGTCTAGACTACATGGCTCTGTCAACGGAGCCATGTAAAGTAGTTTACCCGACATAGTCAATGAAGTCAATGTTTCACGAGGCATGAGGGAGCGGTTGACAAAGGCTTCACTTGTCGACCGATCCGCGTATAGACTGCTGTGCCGGATCAGCTGATTGTCGGAACAGCGCGGCGGCCACTTTTATTTTAATGAAGTGGGGATAATGTAAATCCCCGCTTAATTGACTGTCGGGTAAACTACTTTACATGGCTTCGTCAATGGAGCCATGTAGTCTAGACACATCCCATGATCCCTTTCTGCAGTACTCCTGCCTGGACAATCGCGTCCCATTCTGTATGTGTGAAACCATTTCTCCAGTTTGTCCAGATCATTTTGAATTATGACCCTGTCCTCTAAAGCAGTTGCAACCCCTCCCAGCTTGGTATCATCTGCAAACTTAATACATAAGAACGGCTGTACTGGGTCAGACCAAAGGTCCATCTAGCCCAGTATCCTGTCTGCCTACAGTGGCCAACATCAGGTGCCCCAGAGAAGGTAGACCGAAGACAATGATCAAGCGATTTGTCTCGTGCCATCCCTCTCCAGCCTCTGACAAACAGAGGCCAAGGACACCATTTTATCCCCTGGCTAATAGCCTTTTATGGACCTAACCTCCATGAAATTATCTAGCTTCTCTTTAAACACTATTATAGTCCTAGCCTTCACAGCTTCCTCTGGCAAGGAGTTCCACAGGTTGACTATACGCTGTGTGAAGAAGAACTTTCTTTTATTAGTTTTAAACCTGCTACCCATTAATGTCATTTGATATCCTCTAGTTCTTCTATTTAGGGAACTAATAAATAACTTTTCTTTATTGGCCCTCTCCACACCACTCATGATTTTATATACCTCTATCATATCCCCCCCTCAGTCTCCTCTTTTCTAAACTGAGTGTACTCTCTATGCCAATATCTAAATCCTAAAGATTGCTGTAAAGGTTATAGTTGTGAAATCACCTCCCCCCCCCCCCCCCCCCCCCATTTTCCCTTCCTTTGCATACTCTTTCTGCCTCTTAAGGGATTTTTTTTTTAAGTTTATCATGTTAAAGTATATTTAGTGTGACTGGCCTGGACACTTTTATCATTTAAATTGGCCGTGCCCTTATGTCATGCTTAGGTCTAAAGAGCAGCATGATACCACAATACCTTAGTGATAATGAAGCATAATTATTCCCACATCTTGCAGGGCTTTCAACATGTTACTTCGTTAGACTTTGCACAAGCTGCAAACAATAGTGTGCTTGGTTACTGTCTTGAACAACTATGATCCTATAATGCCTACTTGGTCTTGTTTACTATTGACTGCCTGTGAAGAGGCAGATTTGACTTAATGCTCCTGGTTTTAGACTTTATCCTGACTCTGGGGGTAGCACCTATCTTTAGGGATTTCACTATCAGGACTTTGGTTATTAGGTAATTGTGTCTTTGCTGTGGATATTCTTGGGCTGTTCCAACTCCTTCACATCCACCTTAGCTTCTTCCTGCTCCACTTAAAAATACCTAACACTAACTATTTGTAGACGAAGTTTTCTTATGTTGTATTTGGAACTATTTCTCTTTTCTTTATATAGATTTTTCTCCCCCTCCCTGGGTTTTTCAGCTTGTTGAACTAATTAAAAATGATTGTGCAGTGTCTTGCAGGCTGGGGTGGAGGACTTCATAAGCTGATATTGTTAGACATGGGTTTTGCTGTGTACCACAATGCATCTTTGTCTAGCCTTTTGCACTGGGAAGAAGTGATAGAATATAAAGTTGGGTGTAAAAGTGCTGCTTCCTTTCCTCTACAGGGATTAGTTAATGAAATATATCTCCCAACACAGTACTGCAAAGAGTTTGGCTGAAAAAGTCTTGCTTATCCCCCACACTGCTACTCTTGTCTTGCTGCATGGCTGGCGCCTGTTTGAAAAGGCCAATTCAGATACTCCCTTATTGGCCCTGGCTCCTCAGGACTTGGCTCTAACTCAGAATATGTATTAAAAAGAAAAAAAGCAGCTGTTTGTCTTTTCCAGCTGAGCTTTTTTCCCCTCTTTTCTCGTGCTGCTTGCTAATTGGCTGAGGAAAAGAGGGAGGGAGGATTGGGTGAAGTAAGCTGTGTATACTCTGTGAATCTGGTTGGACTAGTTTTTACAGGGATAGAGACTGAGAGGTGAGGCTATACTAGCCATTCCCCTCAGTTTTTCTCTCTCGTCCCTCATTTTCTCTCTCTATCATGGTTGGGGATCATTGTAACCTCTCTGGAGACAGACCTGTACTCTCCCAGAATCCCAAAACTGGATTAAGCTGCAAAATGGTTCTGCAGGCGGTGGGTAAAGTGTTAAGGTAACAATCAGGTTGTCATTTTAGAAATTATGGAAAAGGTGTAAGACAGAGTTGGGATGCACAGTAAAATGGGAAGACTTTTTACTGCGGGGCATACTTTTTCGTTTGATTTCATACACGAATAAGCGTGTAGTGGGGAAGACTGTAAAGATTATGTTGTAAAGTGAAGGTACATTGTGAGGGGGCACTTTAAACAATGTTGTGAGGTGGACAACTGGCGAAGTAACTATTGGTCTTATGCAACATTTTTAAGGAATATGAATCAAAAGCTGTGATTTGCCTCTAAAATTTGATAGTCATATAAATGTGGATTTTCTATTAGGCGTCTTGAATCTATCAGTGTTTAAAACTGTCCGATGTAATGCTGTGGTGAAAGAATTTAAAGGCATCCGAGAGTGCAGAGTTTCATGGGAATGATTGGTGAATGGCTACTTGGGATTTTTTTTTCTTTCCATTGGTAATGTTACATGAGTAAGAAATTTAAGAAACTACATCATGCACGTGGCTTTTTTGTCTGTAAATTTAAAAAATATTTGGAGTAACAGGTTTGATGCTGGGGGGAGAAATGTAGCTTTTATTTCAGTGAACATGAGCCCAAATATTTCTAAATTGTGAAGAATCAGCACACAACCCCAAAGAGGGGCATTGTTGTATGCAGTTAACTGTATTTGGCAAGCCTGTGCTTGCGGCTGTTTCCTCTTATTGACGGCGAATTGTTAAAAATGTTTGTCAACAGAAACATTATCCCACGTCTTCCTTCCTTGACTTATGGGTCCTTTCACACCACAATCTGTGCTGTGAAGATGTTCATTGAATGTTGTGACAACAAAGTAAATATGGCAAAAGCTGGACTAAAGATCTGACTTTCACCTCTGCTAAAAACTGTGCTTAAGTTAGATGGGATGCATTTTTAATTGTTTATTTTAAAGAATAGGTGTTTCCCCCTTCCCGCTTTCTATTTTGCTTGTTCTGGCATTCTCCTTTTCATGCTTTTTGTCTCATTGATACTTTCTAAGGGTAGGGTTTTGAGGAATAGAAAGTTCCTTTCCCACCTCTTCAACAAGTTTAGTTTACGGAACTTTTTCAGGTTCTGTTCTTTGTTTGAAAGTTGTTGGTTTTTTTTTTTTAGAGTCTGTAATTCAGTGTGGTGGTATGCAGTAAGTCCTATCTTAAAACACTTTAGCCAGTGGCTGGCTGTTTGTGTTGTGAATCTTTTTGAAGTTTTAGTAGCTGTTTTATTGGCCGTACTCCCAGATATGGTTAGATTGGTGCCTCTGAAGGAAAGTATTGCCAGCGCCATTGTTCAGGGTCTGTAATAGCTGGCTTTAAATATAGGTAACATCCCAGGACGAACAGTGAAACGTGTACATTTTTGTTTGGGAGCTGAATCATTTTGACCAGTCATAATGAACTTTGTCTTGCTGATTATTTTTTCCTATTTTGAGAATGTTTATTATATTTCTGCATAATTTTATTTTTGGTAGCCACAGTGTAATAATTTTGAGCTACTTGTGCCGTCCATGGCTTGTCTCTTTTTCCAAATTATATACCAGAATTCTAACGTGAAAGAAGGAAAAAGCTGCCCTTGTATATGTAATATTTGGGCCTGAATGATGTAGAAATGAGGTGGATTTTATCTTGCCAAGGTTACTTGATTGGTTAAGTGTTTGTTCATAACATATGGATAAATTACTATATTTGATGTCATAATGCACAAGAACTTTCACCTGCTTAATACTTCCCATAAATTATTTTTCTTGTGTGTCACTATTGTGGCTTTTGTTTTGTTTTGTGGTTTTTTGCATGTCTGTTCTGGGTCATCAATTTCTGTATGCAAAAAGGGGAAAAAAAATTGAACTTGCCTCAGTCCCTGCCAGAGAGCAGTCCAGGTCAGCCTGTTTTGGATTTTGGACTGAGGCTCAGATTTGGGCTCACTTCCTGGATCTGCTGCAGACTCCTCATGTGACCTCCTATGAGTCACTTAATTTCACTCTGCTTCATTATGTGAAATTGAATAATATTTCCCTATCTCATAAGAGTGACAATACATTTGTCCCCCTATTAAGAGTTCAGATTCCAGAATAATGGGTAATATATAAGAACATGAGTTTGAGATTGGTCTAAGGTAGAGATAGTCAATAGGCGGACCACAGGCCAAGCACTGAGAGGCTTTTGAATAGACCATGGATTTTTTTATTTACTTGTCTATGTATTTTTAAAATATGCATCTGTCTGTGAATCTGTTTAAGAAGGTTAAGAGCTAGGATTACCAAATTTGGCATGTAGCTACCTCTTTTCCTAACGTAAGGCAATATCAGGGTTTGGTTGTTCCAGGAAAATTGAAAGTGCAGGAAATTGGACTATTTTCCCATAACATGGAAAGAGAAAGGCCCAGAGAGGAGAGAGATGTGATACTGAGAGTGGCCACTGGGGGCAGTGAGCACAAAGGAGAGCTATACTGCTGAGCGGCCACTCAAAGCAGCAGCAGCACCACCAAAAGAGTGGAGGAGGAGGAGAGGGAGAGACAAACCCACCCACACCCTGGTGGGCAGAAAGGGGATAGGAGACAGAAGGCCCACCGGATGTGACCTCCAACCTTCACTCTTGTACCACACCCATGCCCCCACTCTCCTGCTCAGCTGCCCCCCCCCCCCCCCACCCCAAAGCCCACACTGCCAGTGCCTTCCCTGAAGGACCCAGGCAATGTCGAGTAAGTCTTCTACTTACCATATCATTACTACAAAATAAAAAATTAATAAGGAGTGAAATGTGCAGGTTTGTTACAAAAATTGTGTACAGGAAATCCTCACCATTTGTGGTGGATGCAGGAACATATCCTCTGCAAATGGCAAAATCTGTGAATACTGGGAGCCACAGCTCCCAGTCCTCACAGTAAACTCCCTGTGGCTCCTGAACTCACTGCTTGGGATAGGGAATGGGGGGGAGGGGGAAGAGAGCCACAGGGAACTCATTACTGCTTCCCCACCCCTAGGCCAGGACCCCGCAAATATGTGGAACCACAAATAGCAATTCTGTAATCGCTGGGGTCTCCTGTACTAGCACTTCATAGCAACATGTGAGACCAATGATGCTCTTGGTGAAAGAGAGACATAGGCTTGGTTGTAGAAATATTTCTTCTTGATGATTGATGTCATTGGTTTGGTACTTGGCAGACTGCAAATGTAGGACGGAATGTATTCAGCATGGTTATAAATGTGAATTTCTTAAACAGTGCCAAGGTCTGTTCATTGTGATCGATGCCAAAGTTGATGTGAACTTATGAAAGACACCCATGATCAGTGACAGGTAACTTTTCGTGTGTAGATTGAGCCTTGAAACTACTTACGGTGAGCATCAAAGAGACTGAACTTAGCTGGGTGGAGAATTTGAATTTTGTGCATGTCGGTATTGAGTGTGTCAACAGTTTGCTGACCTTTAAAGGTTTTTCTCTGGCAAAATGAGAGCCTTACATTTCACACTGCTGCAACTCCACTGTTGGAAGCTTTGATGAAAAGGGGGCTCCTTTCAGAAGTGGCGTGCCCCAGCATACTCTCCTGCCCTGGGCCATGCCACTCTCCTGAGAGGGGCTCTTTCCACCAGCTGCCCTGGGTTACCAGGCAGGGGGAAGCCACACAGCTCCTATGTCCCGCCTCTCTGGAGCACAGCGGAAGGCAGGGTGGATAAGGCAGCAAGCATGTTGCTATGGGGAGGGGAGGGGAGGAGTAGCACTTCCCTGCAAGCAGGATCCAGTGAGCCTCCCCTTTCTTCCCCCCCCCCCCCCCCCCACACACACACAGAGAAAGCTGGCACTGGCTCCAATCTTGCTGGGGGCGCAATGCTGGATCACTAGCACGAACTCGCTGTTGTGTTCATTGCATTTGCGCGTGCCACTGAAAATCATCTTGCGGGCTATATGTTACCAGCCCCTGACTATGCCATTCCTACCTTTTAAGGAGCTGCGCAGGTTGAGAATTACAAGGGATAGTTTTTCTAGTGCTACTTAGAGCCTGCATTATGCTTCAACCACAACAAAATGCTTGCTTGTTTGATGTCATGTTTTACAATTAAGTTTTTCTCTGCACTGCAGTGCCCCCTCCCCACTCTGTTTTTACCTTCTCTTAGGCAGTAATATAAATTTAATTCCTCTTTGTTGTGAGGTGTCAGGTAATGTCTCCAAAACATGAGCGTGTGATGAGCAGAGAAAGATTAATGTGTAATTTTTTTTAAAGAGTAATAGGAGAGATTTTTGGGACAGAGGGGGAAAATGTGTTAGATAGCAAAGTAGGTGAAGAGAGAATGGGATGTCAAATGGTTGAATAGAGGAAAAAAAAGAAACAACAAATAATACAAGAAAATACGAATATTAATCCCTTATTGGAAAGAAAACGGGAAAACCCAGTGAAGCCAGGAAAGAAACATAAGTGCAACAAAAGTTGCAAATGTCAGACTACTTGCATTTTTTTAAATGAGACCTACTGTTATGTTTTAATATTCCTATGAGGGCCTTGTCTTTGGAGAGCTGTGCATAGTGCCTCATTTTCATCCTGTCTACATTTAGAGCCTGCAGACTTTACCCAAAACTTACTAGCCCCAGTGCAAAGCTTGGTAATTTTTGCTGAAGACACTGCACATTAAGAATACCATAACTTATCTCTACATAGCAACAACCTTTTTGAAATACGTTAATTTTACTTTTTCCCCCAAATATAGATGAAATTTAGACATGTATTTTTATGCCATTGTTGGAAAAAAATAAACAGATATAATTGTGTACCGTTTCTTCTCTTCTAGATAAGATGAAGATATTAGGGCTGGGTGAGTAGGGAAGGGAAAGGCAAAAATAATTATGCAGAAACATTGTAAGCACACTGAACTCTTCTTACCCATATCATATCATATGTATATACTCTTCAAATATTTGTAAAACTACGTGCACAAGAAAGCAGGAAGTTAGTATAGCCTGTTCATCAACACCTGCTTTTAGTCACCTTGAATAATTA